TAAGAGGGAAAATGGGGAGGGGAAGAAAACAGCCTCCAGGAAGTCCCAGCCCGGCTCCAGCTCCAGCCCTATTGTCAAGGCCTGGCCCAATTAGCCAGCTGGCTCCTCGGGACCAATTAGACGGGGCTGGGGTCAGCCGCCTGCCAAGGCCCCCTACCACCACTCGAGCTGCACCTAACCTTGCACAAAAGCCCTAGGCTCTGCCTCTGCTGCAGCCAGCGGGAAGAAAGGAGAAAGGAAAGGCCTCCTTTTGTCTCTTTGAGGTAACCTTGGGCCAAACAAAGGAGCCGCAGCCTCCCACCCTGCAGGGCAGCTGCTTCCTGGCACAGGAAAGCGGGTTCATGCCGCAGTGTGCACAGGTTATTCCGGTGCTGGGATGCCCAGGTGACACTCCGGGCAGAAGCAGGCATCTGGGTGAGCAGAGCCCTAGTTCTAGAACCTTTTGTAGCTCTCAACTGCCCTCTGTTCTGATGCAGAGCTCCCTGGCTGGCCCCAACCAGCTAGGCCTGCTCCAGCCCTCTGGCCAGACAAGCCTCTGAGTTTTGTAGCCTCTGAAAGCCAGGCCACGCCATGCCACGCCATGCCACACCCACCTCCGCCCCTTGGTACAGGCTGTTCGGCTTCTGCTCCCAGCCAGACCTGTCACATCGTACCTGGGACTCAAGGAGCCAGCTCCACCCCCGCAGGGAACACCCCCCCACACACTGCCTCTGGCCTCTGACTGGCACTCCCTCCCATACACTCCCCAGGAGCCCTCTAGGGACAGGGTGACTTGCAGTCAGGACTAGATGGGTCTTGTGGGCTGGCCCCGTAGCGCAGTGGTTAGGTCAGATCCCACATGGCTGCCCGAAGTTCGAGTCCCAGCCCCATCAGCTTGAGAGACACGTCAGGTACATGTGCATGTCGGCGTCCTGTCAGGGTTAGAGGGAGAAGGACCACAGCGTGACTGGGCTCCCTCATGAACAAGTACACCTTCATTAAGGGACATTTAGAAAGGAAACAAGAAAAAGATGGCTCCAAGCCCCCATTCTCGGCACTCAGCCCCGTGATCTTCCTGGGGCTGGCCAGGACCGGGGTCGCACTGAGGCCTGGCTGTGTGACCCCAGGGAAGTCACTGCACCTCTCTGGCCCTGATCAGAACCTGAGATGGGAATTCCGGGGCAGGAGGTTTGGGAAGGTGGACAGGACTGACAGGAGGGATGTGTCGGGCTGGAGAGCGAGGCACCTCCCACATGCCTGCCTCTCCCCGTGAAGCTGTGGGGCCTGCACTCTGCCTCAGGCCCTCAGTCCCCCACAGGCAGAAGCCGCAGCATCCGTCTGCGGGAGGCGGCTGCCCTCTGCCGGCTGCAAAGGCCAACGGCAAGCAGGTACTGGGCCTGCCCACCGTGGACCAGGGCTGGGGACTCAGACGGGGTAGCTGCCCTGGGAGGGGAAGAGCCCTGTACTAAGAAGCCCACCGCCCTGGCCCAGCCTCGCCACCCTCCTCTGCACCCACTCCAGCCCTGCAGACCCTGCACCCAGCCTGCCCCAGCCCCGGCAACCTGTCTACACTGCCATAGCCTCGAGCTCCTCGTCCCCCTGCCAGCTCTGCCCGCTGCTCCAGCCCATGCCTCCCCACGTGCTCCTCCCACCTGTCTCCCAGTGCTCCAGAAAACCCTCCCTCCACCCTGCGCCTCTCCTCAACCCTGTGTCCTCAGGTACATTTGCCCCGTCAGCCTCACTGTCCCCACAGCCCCCACCCCATGGCCACCAGTGAGGGCCAGGTCACACCCAGAGGCTCCCTCTGCAGACTGGGAACCTGTTGCACTTTCTTTCTTTTCCAAACACTTTTTAAAACTTTACTTAATATTTCCAGGGGGGATGGTCACGCCGCAATCCCTTCTCCTCCATTCTCCTCTCAGGATCTTGGGCACGCACGCATACGCGCCCGGCGTGAGTTTTAAGCCACCGGGTCCGGGACATGAACCGCGGTCGACTACGTGGGAATCCAGCGACATAGCCATTACGCTAACTGCTGGTTCCCAATATTTATTTATTTTTAATTTGACCAGAGAGAGACAGAGTGAGTGAGAGTAAGCCACCAGGTACAGGACTTGAACCAAGGTCGGCCACATGGGAGTCCAGCGCCCTCACTCACCATGCCATCTGCCAGCCCCCTTTTCAAACATGTTTTTAAGTGATGAAATGTCACCCATGTGCAGAAAGTTGCATGGGATACATGGAGCGTAGCAGTTGTGGTAAGGCGAACGCCATGAAGCTGCCCTGGTTAAGAAATAGAGCCCCGGGCCAGCCTTGGGGCCTAGTGGCTGATGCACTGGGAGAAGAGGCAGCGGGTGGTGGACAGAGTGAGACCAGAACTAGACCCTAGGGACAAAGTGGCTACGTGTTCCCGGGGCCGAGAGTGGAGCTTGCCCTGCAGGCTGTGGGAGAGGCCAGGGCTGCCCTCTGCAGGCTGTCCTCATGTGGCACAAGTGCCCCAGCCGGGTTCTGATCTGACTCCAAGTGTGTGAGGTCTCTGGGCCGAGGTCCCGGTGAACAGAGCCATCTGAGGACGCCAGATGGGGAAGCCAGGACCTGGGACTCGGCCGAGGCAGGCACTGGGGAGGTGGCCTGGCTCTGACAGCTGTGAGAGAGAGCCCAGCAGGAAGGCTGGACAGTGGCAGGTGACAAGTGGTGGCTGGCAAGCCACTACTGCCTGGGGACCTCTCCCCAGAAGCCAGAGGCCCACCGTGTTGCAGACAGGAGGGAGTGGGGGGCAGAGCTGGGCACCTGGGGACTCAGACCACTAGGCGAGGCTCCCAGCGAACTCTGGGTACACTCACTGTCCAGCTTCCACCTCTGCCCACTGTGGGAACCTCCCAGCTTCACATGTGGGCCCCCCTTGGTATTTGTGCTTGAAGATCTCAGAAATCCCTTTCTAAGCCGTCATTTGCAGCAGTAGGAGTTCCTGATGATGACGTAAATGCATGTAAACATGGCTGATTAATTTCCCACACACACGTAACTTCTGGGCAACTTTTACCGCTGCTCAATATACTGGGCAGTGCGCGTGTGTGAGGATGTCACACGGGGCTGCCCGAGGCGCGAAGACACAGTCCCTGAGCAGGTCTCTCACTGCTCCAAGGGAAAATGCAAATACCAGCAGCACCTGCCCTCATAGGTTAGCTGTGAGGACTGAGCGAAGGAGGGCACACTGAGCGGAGAAAGCCAGCCAGGGGCCGGTGGGTAAGGGGCTGGATCCCACATGGCTAGCCGTGTGGTTCGAATCCAGGACCCAGCAATCTGAGAAACACGCTGGGTGGGTGTGTATACCGGAACCCTGAAAGGAGAATGGAGAAGGGTTTGCAGCATGGCCCTCTCCCCGGAGAGTGGTTTCTCACCTTCCCTCTCTCTCTTTCTCTGTCTCTATCTCTCTCCAGGGAGCACATGCACCCTGTAGCAAACAAACCAAAACAAAAACGGGAAAGGAAGAGAGAGAAGGCAAAGAAGTGGCCATGATCAGCCAGTCCTGGTTGTTGCCCACTTCCTTCTAGCCCCTCACCCACAGGTCTCCTCAGCTGTGCCCGTGACCTGGGCTGCCCTGGGCTGCCCTGGGCTGGTGTCACAGGAAGCTCACCCCCATGGCCCCGGGGGAGCACGGCACAGAGGCTGCCCTAACGCAGCTCCTTGGCCATGGGGGTGAGCATTTTCATCCACAAGTGGGGGCAAGGTGGGCAGGGGCTCAGCCCTGGGCTCTGGGCTCTCCAGGAGATGAACAACTACCGGCGGGCCATGCAGAGGATGGCAGAGGACATCCTGTCGCTGCGGAAACAGGCTGGCGTCCTGGAGGGGGAGAACCGCGTGCTACGGAGTCAGCTGAGCCAGCAGGAGCGGCAGGACAAAGCGGAGGAGGACCAGGGCCTGGGTGAGGATGCCCGCCTGAGCCAGCATGTGAGACCGGGAGCTTTCCCAGACACGCACCCAAGCCCACTGACACTCACGAGGTCCCTGTTGGGACGAGAGACAGAATTCGGTCCCTGCCCTCACCCCGCTGCCCACGCAGCTGTGAGTGGAGGCTCCTCCCTGAGCTGACCCCTGCCCCCTGCAGCGTCCGTGAAGCAGAAACTGCTGCTGCGGGAGCTGGACGTGAAGGAGCTGAGGGACAGGGTGCAGCACCTGCAGAACGAGCTGATCCGCGTGAGCTGGGGCTTGGGGAGCGAGGGAGGGCACGGGGCGTGGGTACCGGGAGGAGACACGTCGAAGCAGAGGGAACCGCCGGGTGGCCCCCAGACACCGTCCCTTGCAGAAGAACGACCGGGAGAAGGAGCTGCTGTTTCTGTGTCAGACCCAGCAGCCGCAGGGGCTGCAGAGGCGGTATCAGGACAGGCTGCAGCAGGTGAAGGCGCTGGAGGAGACCGTGAGGCACCAGGAGCAGGCAGGTGCCACCGTGGGCCCAGCCTGGGCAGGAGTGGGAGGCCAGAGGCCTGAGGCCGGAGCCCGGGGACAGCCCAGCCTTGCCGTCTGCCCTCCAGGTGATCGAGAAGATGGAGCAGGTGCTGGAAGACAGGCTGCGGGGCAGGACTGAGCCCCCACCCAGGGCCAGGCTGCAGGGAAAGCCCAACGTAGGCGGGGCTGCTGCCCAAAGTGAGTGTCCCGGCTCCCCGCTGTTGCCTGTCCCCAGAGGCTGTGCCTTCCCCCTTCAGGAGAGCCTGCCAAGAAGGGCCCTGTGCACCCCATTATATCTGTAGGTCCAAGAACCCCACACCTATTGCTCACCTCCTGGTGCAGTCCAGAGGTTGTTCCGACAGCGTGAGCCAGAAGGAGGCGAACTTGCGGGGGGGGGGGGGCCGGGCCCGAGGGGGCCTCCCCGGGGCGCCCGGGGGA